ATTTCAACACAACTTCGTATCTAATTAGGACAACGTTTTTCATATGCATGTTAGATGCACGTGATCTGAGTCCCACTTGCTATCAGTGCCCACAGATTATCGGACGCAGACACACTCAGCGGCAGGCTTGGTTTTTACGCCACAGAAACTGATCATATTTACGTTTTTACGCGTAAAAACAGTTTTTACGTTTTTACGCGTAAAATGCGTAAGAATACGTAAATACAACGTAAAAACTGCCCGGTGAACATAAGGACAATACATACAGATAAACGTAAAAACCAAGCCTGCTCAGCGGCAATGCGGCGCGATACTTCTCTATATGGCATATTCACTGCACCGAACTCAACGACATAGAATGAAGATTCATGTCTCGATGGGAAGGTGAGAACATGCAAATGCCTCCATTGGCCGCCATCTATTGCAGCATCTACAGAACATGACAGATAGGGCAAATGGCAATTGAACCCAAGTAGATGTTACCGGCATAGAATACTGGACGGCACGGAAACGGATACTCACCATTTGGATCGACGCGGTCACTTTACTTATCTTGCACCAGCGGGACAGCTGCTCCTCGCGCCTGAAACCTGAAATCAGATATCCGGATGGTGTCAGATATCGTTTGCACCATAGTCCAGAGAGTGGATATGTCTGCATATCCCACACGATAGCATCTTCGCTCCCTTGCGGAACCAAAAAAATGGAATTCTCATCGATTGCGACAATGAGGTGTTGAATCTCTTCCAGACATTGCAGAGCTCCAATTTGAGCCCACGAAGATCAATTGCCTTGCGATCTTGCCACACCGAGTATTGCTCAATCCTGATTTTCAGTGCACAACAGCGCCCACGCAACCACATATTCACACTTGCCAAGCACTGGCGAATGTCAACGTGGCAATACAGCAACAAGAGCACTGTCGGCAATAGCCCCTCGGAGGATTCTGGGGAAGCTGTGGTCGAATATCCCGCGTACAAAATCTTTTGGAAACATTTGAATACATTCTCCGCATGACAGGGCCCCGGCGCTGGAACATTGATGCGCAAACTCGTAATCGCAAATCGCTGGTCCTCCAAATCACATTCCCTCCGGAGGGATACGGATCGGTATCACCAACCGAGAACAAAAGAAAAAAAAACTTCAACCCAGACATGTGCGTACAATCGGGGACCAAGCCCACGACGCCGGAACGGATTCAGTGGCACCAATGCCTACTGCGCAATTCCAATTGCAACGCGGCAAGAGCCAGTGCAGATCACCGATGAAAAATGCGACGGTCCCGACACCCCAGGCCGCAGCCCCGCCCCTGCGCAATCTCCACCGATGTGTTATCGAGGTTTTAGGTCCCTATCATGACCTTTCTGACGTTCGCACCCGGTAATGATAGGCATCGAACAACCCACCGCCGATGGGAGTATCCCTTCTCAATACATTCATATCGTTCCCATTCTCGGGCATCCGCTCCCACCCCCTCAATACGCGCCTTCCGTGGCCCAGAGCCGGGTAACGGCCAGCCCGCCGGCCCTAGACACTGCCGATCCAATTCCTGATCGCGACGCGCGACCCTGATCGCGCCCAGCAGCCTTTGGGCAATCGAACAGCGATTGAGCAATTGCGGGGCGCCCGCAGGCGCTCCATCACCTGCGCCCTCAAAGCCGCCGATCTCCAGCGCGCCGCCGTCCAGCATGCCAGGCTTCCATGACGTCGGAACGCTGCCCCATTTCGAGATGCGCCTCGCGGACATTTGCGAGCGGGCGGGTGAAACGAGGTCGGGAGCAGCGCCCAAGCGGCTGGAGCTGTGCTGCGGGGTGGCAACCGAGTGTGGGGGAGCCCTCCGCAGCTAGATACCCCGACTCCGATGCGTGCGGGCGAGCTGGGCAAGTCGCCACTGCTAGCTGTGGGTCCCAAACGGGATCGGCCCCCGGCGATCTGGCCCATGTGGGCGAGGGCCCATCGGCCTCTCCGCTGTTTGTTTTGCCGATGGATCCGACCGATCAGTCTCAGAGCCGAAGAGCGGACAGCGGACGCACGGCCCCAGAACGCGTCTGGGAAGCTTTTGTGGGAAATGCACATGCAGCCGCGTTCAGAATCGTGCAGGGGCGCGGGCGCCTGTTGGATGGGAAAGCTGTTGCAACGTTGGATTCTTCCATTACGTGTTTCAAGTTATGGATGCTAGGGGCGCGCCGCAGGCGTTTTTGCACGTAGATGGCCGCCTTTTTCATCCGCTTCTGTACGTGGATTGCTTTTCATCACGCTGGGAGCTTTATGCATTGGTTGCAAGTCTGCAGCGAGAACGACGGAACAATGAGAAAGAAACGTTCTTGGATCCGCGCCGGTCATCGCCAGCGAGGTGGATGGGCACCACCTCAAAGGCAATTTTCAAGGATTGCAGCAACGAGATTGTGTATGGCTTCGCGCGGAGCGATGACGTGAATCCCCGAATAGCTGACAAATCGATGCTACATTTGTTCCTTTGCTGGGCTGGTACAGGATCCACTGCTGCCGTCCAACGCACTGCCAAAGAGCTGTTTTAGCAGGAATGATCATTTACAGATCTTGAGCAGAACCTGAATTGTTGAGCGTTACAATTAAGCGTTCTTGGAGATGTTTGAAGTTGTGGCTGAGGTCTTTGGATGCGCTCGCACATACAGATCCCGCCGCTCTGGAAAATGACGACAGCGCAATCATGGTTCCAACAGACGCATGACACCATTCAGAATGGGCGCATTATTCTCAGAAATATGCAAGAGAATATCATGAGTGGTGTTGCAGAATATTGGCAAATTTCTGGAATGTCAATATCTCGGAAGTGTTCACAGTCCACGCGTGACATAAACAACCGGAAGCTACTAGTACACAGCACGGCGCTGCGCCCGCCCATTTGCTGATGGTATAACATATTTGCACTACTCAACACTGCGATAGCATCAACCAGCTGCCACTTTTTCCCTCCATCTCAAGTAGGCTTACCCACATCCAGCTATTGCGTGTGGATCTCGCCATGCGAATTCTTGCTTAATTCACCTATATTGCTCAAGGGCGGCGAGCCAACACCATGGCCGAACAAATCCACTTGGCTCAGAGATTACCGAAACATACTGCAGTACTATATAATATGTGTGTGATTATTGCGATATGATGGGACAGTCAGATGGCAATGGACTCCAGACGGCGCGCCGCCAGCAAGCATTCAGGCGCGCTGCATTTCACGTTCCTGGGCGCGATCACACGAGAGAGAGTGCTAATTTATTTTATTGTGCATTCTGCCCACGGTGCAACTCCTTAATTTTGTTAAGCGATGCATGTAGAACATGCATTTTTCAATGCCCGATTGTGGAAACTCTGTCAGCGGCCATATGCGCTATATAGCCGGGCGGCTGCGAATACAATTCATGCAGATGTTGGAGACATTGTCAAATTGAACCTATCTAGTAGGGCAGATGCGCATGTGCACCTGCGCAGGTGCATGCCCTCCTCGACACGTTGAGCTGGGCCATTTTTCCAGATATCCGACCATCACCTGCCACTGTTTAAACACTTCAAATTTGCAGTATGGTAACTGCCTAAAATATCAAAATGGCATTTTACCAGAACGTCTTCTGCAGCTTCATGGAGAAGACGTGCGCATCGAGTATCATGAGGTTCAGCGTGCCCATGACAACGGTATTGTTGGCCACGGACATGGCGCCATCGCGAACGCCCTTGCAGGCAACTAATTGTTGTTCTGTCTGCTTCATGTTATCGGAATGCGAATTGGACGCTGGGTAGACGTCAGGAATGTTTTCGGGGTGACGGCTCGCCACTTTGGTTTCAGGAAAGCGGCCCCTCTGCAATTTGTACCTGTGCATTGAGGAGTTAGTTTGCAGGTGGCCAAGGTATAGGTGCATTTTAGGCATTTTCACGAAGGTCACTTGGGTTCTATACCATAGGGTTGGTTTCGCACGGGTAGCCTCGGTAGGCTTCATTCAATGTAAGGGGGATTCCGGTTCCTAAAACTGGAGCTCGCAGCCGTCCACTAGCCTATTTTTGCTCCCGCACGTCCAGCGCTTATGCGCTCAACTGAAATTTGGGCGAATTATATATGTGGAAATGAATTTTATACTTTGGGTTTAAGTCATGAAGCATTGAGAAGGTTGGAGACGGACCATGAGCTTTTGTACGGTGGCCTTGTTGGGAAGTGACACCGCATTGATCACACGATTATTCGGTCTACTGTCCCAGCTGTCTGCCTTTGCATTTTCCAACTGGGCTTTCCTGGACAAGCACTGTTTCGCACATCGAAAATCGCGCCGGTCATTTGTTGTGGGAATGAGAGCATTTTTCGTTGGGAACACGATTATGTTTGTGTTTACAGCGCACATCATGGCCTGATACATGCACAGACATGATTCGTAACGGCGCTCGAAGGATCTGTCCAGCAAACTCACTGAATCGATTCAGGGGTGTGCTGGCCGCTCAAAACAACTGCCGTCTCATCAAGTGGTGCAGGTAAACGCGTCGGGCTGAAGAGGGAGCACTCCAAATAATGCAAGGGTGTCCAAATTATAGTGACGCAAAAGATAATGATTTTGGTTGTAATTTTGTCGTACCTGTGAGGCGACTGCTCCTCAGCAGCTAGTTTGCAATGAGCGGTAGCAGTTTTCCTGCGAGCCTTGCTGCGGGATCAAATTAAATTCGGAGAGTCCAGGAGGACCCCCAGCAGTGGGTCCTTGAGTAACTTCATGCCACAGTTGCTCTCCGCAGCGTATTGTTGGGACGGCAGTCACTCCATCAAGCCACATTGCACTGCCTCGTCCGGCATCACGTGGGCCAATCACTCTCCTGTCTGTCCGTATTGGGCCCCTCTGAAAACGTATGTGCTCACCGATCCTTTACCGGAAGCCTGATTGTTTTGCACAAGGCACACTGACCACGAATTAAAGCACAGTCGGGTAATTTGACGTCGACCGACTCTGCAGTCGCGGCGCTGCACTGGCCCCAGGGGCCTCCGGGCCAAGATGGGCGCCCTGCAGTGCACCGGTGGCGTGGGCGCCCGGGGGCGCTCATTCGATGCGCATCGCCGCTGTGGCATCGACCCCTTTGCGCCAGCAAGCAAGGAGCCGCGTGGCGGCCGCAATGCCGCCAGGCCAATTTCCACCAGCTGCCCCCGAAGGTGATAGCCTTTCCCCTTTCGGTGGGACGTCCTGGAAAAGACATGACCGCCTCGGGAACAGCGTCCCACTCTCCTGGGAGTTGGTCCACCCCTGAGGTCATTGGAGCGAATGCCGCGAGTTGTGGCTCAATCGGTGTGCCTGACGACCTTGCAAGCAGCGAAATTCGATTGCTCCGCCTGCAGCCGGTCGCCAAGGTGGCGCGACGCCTCCAGGCGTCTTGCGGCGCGCCCTGTGTGGGGTGTCGGAGGGGCGGCGAGGGCCCTGTGGCCCCGTAGCGCGAGGGTCAGGGTGGGGGACAGAAGGGAGGATCGCGCAGCAGCCAATCAAATTGCATTCAGATCCAGACGGGGGCAGAGCATTTTGGTTCAGCAGTTTGCCCGCACCGAATTTTGGCATCCAGTGTATCTGCACTAATATACTCTTGCAATGTCAAAGCTGCGCTAAGGTCACGTCTTCTCTGCGAACGTCTTCGAGTTCCGGCGTCAAGGCGGCGAAATTGGTCACTTCGTAACTGTGACGTGTCGTGTCCTCTTCTCCGTGCCCATTGCCACTGTCCGCCACGTTTCCCGAATCCAATGAACAGCTGCCGAACACAGCGAATCGAACGTCGAAGCGCCGATCAAGTGCCGATGATTGCCCACAATATGCTGAAGTTTGTCAATCCTGTGAAAACTTCACAACAGCACGCATGCTGAGCGGGGTCTGCAACGACAGAAGCGGACAAGCCACCCAACATGTGCGGTTCAAGTGCGTGGTACTGGGTTAATATAAAACACCGCGTTGGCGAACAGTACGGAATCAAGAAACGGCGGACTGGAATAAATATGTCCTCCAGAGGCTAGTGAAGATTGCGCTTTTCGCAGCTTGAACCCCCCTTGCCACTTTTCACTTCCCCGAAGATTCGAATTCCCTGTTCCATGAAAACGACGTAAGAAGCGATCTTTGCATTCTTCAGGGCCATGACAGTTTTTCCCATTTCGTTGGGTCAGGTATTTTTAAGGACTGGGACAAACTTGCCCCTCTTCGTGCGTCGCTGACGTTGCACTTGCTCCATTTGCGGTGATCACACAAGACGCAAATTCATCGGGAGCCCACTCTTGAGGAAAATCCGAATTATGGTCTCGCGTCAGGAACACACCTGCGCTGTTTGCGGCGAAGTTCTGCAGCCATATTGATGTAGATAATGCTGTCTAGTTTTGGCTGCCACATCCCCCACCAACCCCTCAACCTGACGTCCTCGTAGTGTACAGATTGCTATGGCAAAGCAAAGATCAGTTGCTGTTCTGCTGGTAGGAATCAGTCATTATCCAAGTACTCTTCTCATCTTAGTGGTTGCTACGTGTGGCAGCAGGCGTCCAACTCAGCATAGAAATTGACTCTCAATTCCAATATTTATTGTGACTTCCAAAGGTGTGCATTTTCAGATACGCAGGGGTATGCTCCAACACAGTGGTCGCAGCTCTGACAAAGTCCGTGTGCTTTTCTGCCTCCACATTTACCCTTCGGCAAGGAACTGGGGTGGACGTGCCATCAATCAAGAAACTTGCAGAAGATGAGAAGTAAGAATCAGACTTGGCGCTGAGGAAATGACAAGACAGTAAACTGTTGGCCCCCCTGAGGCTGTCTTTTAGCCCGAACATCGGCACCGCCAAAGGCTCCCTGGTGCCAAAGTTGAGTCTGCATGAATGTTGTGCATGGCAACTGCATGTCTCAATTTCCTATGGTTTGGCTGCCTGCTTCAGGATGGTCGTATTGGATTTGGCCCCCGAACGCTGTATAATTGCTGAAGGGACGGATGGCGAAGTGCTGGGAGCAGGCCAGCTTAAAAGCAAGGAATCTGGGGCTTACATGGAGATTTCAACTGTGGTTGTTCAGCCCAAAGCAAGGTGCGCTGATCGTGATACAGCAGGCATGTCAAGGTGCAGAAAAGCGGGATTGGCTCTTGCGTCATGTCTGTCGGTGATATGATATGTCAATGTTCTGTTGTTGGGTACCAGATAACTGCTCATCACTCATTCACTGTGCAGGAATTCGAAGTGAGAAAGACCTCACACTCAGGGCTGCTTTGGCTTAGACTCACAGCACCCTCAACTGGGCCTGCATCAATAGGCGAAATGGGCATTTGTATCTCAGAAACAAACATCCCCACTGGCATCCCCCATTTCTCAAACTTCGAATTGCTGCTGGACTTGCACTGCCATCAATCGTGCCCCAACATACAGTTGTTCACATGATGAGACTGGGTTATGCATTTTGCACGTAGACGACAAGGCGTTGGCACATCTGTTGTCAATGAGCTCTTGAAACTAGCAGCCGGCAACGATGTGTACCTGACGACAGTGGATCAAGGCAAAGAATTCTTCAAGAGCCTTGGCTTCACAGAAGTCGGCTTCTCTGACATGCCCATGTGGGTCGCTGATGAAACTTGAAGCTGTTGTTGGAGCAGAGGACAGAAACATGGCCACTTTGCACATGGACAATTCTCATACAAGTTGCCTCTCATCTAGCTGACTGGTGCTCTGTTGAGCGGGTGAAAACACTGCACTTGTTCCTGAGGCGGATGAACTGCACTCTATTTCATGGTACACATATGCCAGATCTCAAGTCTTGCAATGAGCTGCTTCTGAAGCAGTGCTTCACCACTGTCTCTCCATTTGGTGCTATTCATGCGCCGGTTTCCATGGTACTTCATGTTGATGGGTTTGTTTGTGCCAGGGCGATGCGGCTGGAATGGGCTGCAGGCAATGTGGCTGCGAGGATCTCGATCAATCAGCGTTGCATGGTGATGCTCAGAAAGGGCCGGTGACTAAGCCGATGCTGCAAATGAGTCACACTGTATTTGTTGATCTTGGATTGTTGGAGATTTCATCGCCCAAGCCAGGTAAAGGATACTCCCTGATACTCCATGCTGTCAACACAGTTCGCCTCCAAATTGTGGGCACCAACAAAAAGAGGAAAGAATGCGCAGACAATAAGTCGCATTTCCTGATATTGGGCGATTGCAATTGGCTTCCTTCAAGGCCGGAGTTCGACAGCAACATGTACTGAGAACAACGTGTCATGTTCATGGTGCCTGGGAGGAAAAATCATTCAGGCTTTGCATGCTGGTGTGGAGATTTTGAAGGCACTTTTGTGTGTAGATGCGTCTATGAGCAAGTATGTGAATATGCCAGTGATGTCAATTGGGCATTGCCCATGAAGATGCTGAACGAGCTTCATGGACCACCAGTGATGAGTACCGGTATCTGGCCAAACAACCGATGCTGGCACAGCAACTCTTACCAGTCCAATTGCTGTACATCTTGTTGCTTACTGTTCTTTTTTTCATCATCCAATAAATTCTGAAACTTCCAACCCATCAGGAACATTGCTCCATTCATAAACAGATTCCACAAAGCTACTCTCATACTTAGGGCTGTTGCGCACATACTGCAGGTACTCCTTCAATCCCCCGTCTGCAAAAACTCCCGCATTGTCTGCCACCACCAGCGCACCATGTGCAAGTCTGTCTTCAGCTGCTTTCAAGTATTCAATGTATTGGTTGGGGATGCCATCCAAGAACAGCATGTCAATGCGATCCTCTTCCAATTCTGCCATCTTTTTGCGAGCATCACCCCATCTTACGTCCACCTGTGTGCAAAGCAGTGCACTTCGTTTCAGAATGTGCAAGTTGTTCCCCACCAACTCTGTCTCCCGCACCACAAAAGAATCGTCAACCCAACAGCCACGATGCAAAGTTGAGGGGAAGTCCCGCATCCGGTGGGCAAGTGCTGCAAGACAAGGTTGGTCATTATGTCGACACATGCAGCAGGCTGCCCTACAGGGCAGATAGATGCAGCTATACCTTCCGTTTGCAAGACTGACGATTGATAGCATCTGCAGAGAGAAAGTTGGAATGCATGCTTGCTGCCAGGACAAATGTCCTCATGGGCAGTCGCTTTTTGGTGGGGGTCCAAAGCCAAATGCATGCACCATGTACTGCATAGTACGCAGTTCAGAATACCCTCCTCTTCTGTCATGAGCATTGCCTCCTTCTGCTGCAACGTAGTCACCCTTGACGTACTGGGGGAATTCTGACACACATTGTTACATTTACCTTGTCACTGATAGTTTCTGCCAGTGCTGCGTTCTTTGAGCCCTGGCTGGCTTGCCACAGGAATCGCTTGGCAACAAGGACCCATTTCCAGTCCACCTCGTAGGTCCACAGCCGGGATCCAGGAGGCAGCACTTGGGCAATCAAAATGGCTGAGTATCCTGCCAAAATCATCATGGCAAGAAATCAACATCGGTCCGACCAGGACTGGTGTCTCACACTGGCCCATTGAACAAAAATGTGCAGTGCATAGCTTGACACAAGGGTGTTAAGTCCACTGGCAGTGGCAAATGCAGCATGATGCTCACCACACAATGTTCCAACCTCCACTACAAGCTTTGGTCTCTTCTCTTTGACTAGCGATTGCAGAATCGCCCCCTTTTCAGGACCGACAAATGGCATCCTGTCACGCCGACCCCAGCGCTCCAACCGCCGAAGAATCCAGTCATCATCAACCTAGATCATTACAACTGCCAGTGCTCACAATGACAGATCACACGTGGGCAGCCTGGCAGGGACAATGCCCTCAATGGACACTCACAGTACATCATGTACAGCATGCATTAATGAAGCATCTCCACGTGTGGTATGAATGTGTGGCCATGCCATGCGCCATAACTGGCAACAATGTCCAGATGTATAGATGGGTATGCAGAAGATCCAGCAGCAACATTACCTCCTTTAGCTTTGACATTTTCTCTCCTTCCTTGTTGACATAGACTTCTCTGTCCCCAAATTCGATCTGTGCCTCCCTTATTTGTTTTCTTTTTGACACTCTTCTCTCGGCCCCACTACGATCCAGCCAAAATAGTGTGGAAAAAATCACAAAGCCGAAAAGGTTGATTACCAAATTGTTTAATGGGCCTTCTCCAATGATGAGACTGGTGTCCTGGGACAACACAAGCATAATTCATCTGGTCATCAACTGGGAGTAATCCCTGACCGGTGTTGCCAATCATCTCACTCCCAGATGTTCTTTCAGAGTTAAGTTGCAATCCAATGGCAACATCTGGAGAACATGCAGTTCAGGTGTGGCAAAGAAACAAACAAAGGCAGGGTAGGCAACCAAGGGACAGTGCATTGGTAAATGGAAGTGCAGGATTCCAACAAAACTACAGCTAGCTCAAGTCTAGCCCCATCCGCAAATCTCCAACCAGCATCTAATCTAGAGCAGGTGGATCACCATGGCTCTAAGAATGCTCCATTCATCAAGTCAGCAACCTCCAAATTCTTGACTCTTTCTGAAGGTCCCAAGGGTAGCCAGCAACAGGATTGGGGACTCACCGTTGCAACATTTGAAAAAGCTACAAATGTGCCCGTGAGACAGGAGAATGCGCCAAACCCTAGCAAAGTCAGCCGAAGGGGTCTTGGGACAAAAAACCTGCAAGCAGAAGCACGAAAAGGCTATAGTTTCTGACTGGACTGGTTGACATGATCGTCTGAATTGGACTGTTCAATCGCAGTGTTGTGTTGATGCTGTCACAGTGCAGTATAGGAATATGAGCAAAGGAATATATCTCCCTCAACATTTCAGCAGATTTTTGATTGTGCTGGCCAACAATATGAGCCATCTCCCTCCAACAGGCAAGGATATCTGCCAGTGATCAGCCAGCACACAATTCACTCTCAAGATGTCCGGAGGATCTTGGACCAGACATGCCTGTCGAAGTACAGACGTACAGTAAGACAATTTTACACATCACACCCAAACTTGCCATAAAGATGCGTCCGGTGGTCATGCCAAGGCTGAAAGGACAAGCAACATCTCAGTAATCATGTACACCCTGTGTGGTGGAGCAAGACGTCAAGTGGCAATACCAGAATTCGTTGCCAAGCACAAGGCAGTTCCAAGTCTGGTGCTTCGCATGCCTATGCTCAGCACCGTTGAGGCGCTGTGCAATAAGAGGATGCTGTGCTATCTCCAACGCCTCGCCTTTGGATAAGGGGACAGCTGCACTCAGAACGAAATCAAAACTCCAGGTCACCAGTACCCAGTGCAAAAAACGCTTTCAGTGAAAAAGCAAATGGTTGGCATTACATGCAGGATAGAAAGCCCCTGTAGTGGCTGCTCCTCACTCTGCAAAATTCGATGGATCACGCAGTTCATCCTCAAGCTGCCGATCTCGTTCACGTTCTGTGCATTCACACTGTCGTTGCATCAGGTACACAGATTCTCCAGATACAGGTATGCATGCCTCCAACATCACGGATTAATGCTAACAGGAGTGTTGTGCTGAACCAGACACGTGCACGTAAGCAGCACTTGTGGGGTCAACTGCATGCTCCAGTCCCGCCACCTACGCTTATCTCCTGCCAAATATTGCCACATTGCCAACAATGGGATTCACCTCCAACATGTTGTTTTGGGCAGTACTTTATGAACATGCATACCAAACAAACACCTTCCCCGTTGTAAGGCACATTCCCTGGTATTCCAGCCACCAACGCGACTGTCCAAGGCATGCAGTTGTATGGCACAGGGGAGTCT